TTTTTTTTTTTTTTTTTTTTCATTTTTGAGGATCTCAATTACATCGACCCTCAACCAAGGAGGGATCGTCAGTCAAAAGCGATAGCCAGTGCGTGACGAAGATGGTACTTAGCTCAGGAGGTACGTTTGGATCCCATGACACTTTGGTCAAGGCCATCCGTAGTTTGATACGGAGAGAGTGGTGCATTCGGGATAATGCACGTACATAGGGAAGCTAACTTTACAGTTGGCCACTTAGCGAGCAAGGGGGCATCTTGTCTAATTGAGTTGCAGAGGATCCTCACCTCCTTTAGGGCTCAACACTTTGCTTGACCACGACATTATTGGGGTGTCGTAACCCCGTCGAATTCTAGCCTAATTGTCCATCCAAGCCTGTGGTCTCCTTCTTTGTACCAAAAACAAAAAAATATTAAAGGGAGGATTGAAAGTGTCACCACTACAACAAAAATGAGTTCTAACAACATAAATATAGTGACTTTTTTAATATCCAGTACGAAGAGTTTGTTTCTAATTATTTTGTGTTATTCTTTGTATTTTGGACGATTTCTTTATTTGGTCTATTGTGTAACTCCAAATGAGGATTATGTATTCTTATTATGTTTTAATTAATTTTATTATGCTATTTTATCGTTTGAAAGGGGAAAAAACAACAATTCCTTCCCTCCCAACTTCTTGTGCCTTTAATTTGTGTATCATGAGAGGTTGAATTATATTATGTTAATGTTATTATTAATAGTATGGTTTTAAAAAACGCACGCATGGGTTTCATGTATTCACTTTTCGTTGTTTCCTCATTCTAGCAATAATTTTATATGCAGCAAGTATGTACACAAGATTTTTTAATGTATTCCTGTAAATTATCAATGTTTTCAAGGAAACCTCGATTAGCTCGCTCTTGGCATGCTCTGCCACTTGCGCAACAGNTGATATTTATTATTTGCATGTTCTTATATATTTTATCACTCATAATTACATAAATTCAAATTCACTAGATATATTTTTTTCAAATACCAACATTTTTTTTCTTTTGCGTTGGATATTCTTACAACGCCAGCATTCTTGGACTTCTTTATAATAAAAATAAATATTTTATTAGTTAAAAGAATAATGATAAACACAATTTAATAGCTACCTTTAAACTTATAATTATAATTTTAACAACACTGAAAATTCAATATGCATCAAAATCAATATTAAATTTTTCGTTTATGTTGTTTTAATATGTGAAATTTCAAGATAAAAATATTTTGCAAATATTGTTGATAAGCTGCGTACCGTTAGATAGCTATAATATTTCTTATAAGAAATACGTACTTATATTATGAAATGTCATATTTTAATTGATGTTATATTTTGAAATATTATGGTGTACGAAAGCAGTGTTTGAAAAAATTTGAAAAGTATAATTATTAACTATTAGGTCATTCAAATGTATTTAATATTTATATTTGTTTGAAAAATTATACGTGACTGGAACTGGATAATAGTTGTGTTACTACAATGCTAATGCCAGGCGTGAAATTTATATTTAATAGACTAATTAAAACGAGATTATTTCATAGAATTCATAATCACAATCATCATACTTCTCGTTTTTGCCCCCACATTGCCTGTTCACTCTAGGCATTATTCTTCAAACAAAATACAACACTTTATTTTAGTATTAGTACACTCAATTTTAGCTTTTTAGCTTCGAAATTCCAAATGTTGGGTTACGGTTTTCAACTTTTCCTTCTAATTCACTACTCTAATTAACTAATTAATCAATAATCTAATAATTCGTGTGTTAGCAAAAAGCTGTTATAAGTTTGGCCTAGCATATTAATTAGTGGATGGACTCATTGCTCGAGAGGTGAGAGGTCCATATTCCATGACCCATTTTTTTTTTTTATATATTACATTTAAATCCATTGAAAAATCTAGTACTATCATTTTGTGATAAATCGAGCTAAGAGAAAAGGATTTTCATTTCATCGCAACACTCTGAGTCCGTACATGCAGGCTGCTATATACTACATGCAAATCCTAAACGACGTCGTCTATAGGTAAAAGAGATAATGAGCAAAACGACGTCGTTCCTACTTACAGCATTTTATTAATCAAGAAAACAAAAGGAAAAAGGAAGAAAATAAAAGAAAAGGAAAAAACTGCTACTGCACAAACATACGCACAGTACATTATATCATAGGCACACATATGGTCTTCAACACCCCCTCCTCAAGATGGAGTGTGGGAAAGATAGCACACACCCAGCTTGGACAAAAGTCGAGTGAAGACAGCCGTAGGCAGAAGCTTGGTGAAGAAATCAGCCAACTGAGCAGAGGAATGAACATAGGCCGGTTTGATGAAGCCATCTTTATATTTGTCACGGACAATGTGACAATCTATCTCCAAGTGTTTAGTTCTCTCGTGAAAAACAGGATTAGCCGTGATATGCATGGCTGCATTGTTGTCACACCACAAAGTGATAGGTAGAACAGGCTGCAACTGAAATTCCTGAACCAAGGCATGAACCCACTGCAACTCACACACAGTAGTACCCATGGCTCGATATTCGGCCTCGGCCGAGGACCGTGCCACTGTAACTTGCTTCTTGCTCTTCCAGGAGATGAGACTATCACCAATAAACACACAATAGCCAGTGATTGACCGACGAGTATCCTTACAAGTAGCCCAGTCTGCATCACAAAAGGCAGCTAATGTAGTGTCTGACCGAGAACTGAACAACAAACCAAGTGAAGGAGTGCCACTGAGATATTTAAGGACTGAAATGGCCGCATCCCAATGTTCAGTAAAGGGGTTATTCACAAATTGACTGAGTTGGTTAACAGCATAACTAACATCCGGCCTAGACATATTCAAGTATAAGAGTCTTCCTATGAGTCTTCTATACTTATCTGGTTCATCAAGAGGGTGCCCATCATAACCTGTCAGTCGAAGACCTTGTGGCAAGGGAGTACTAGCGGCTTTACAATTTTCCAAACCAAGATCAGCTAGTAAATCATGAATATACTTTCGTTGAGACAAGTGTATCCCAGCTGCATTTCTGGAAATTTCAACCCCTAAGAAATACTTAGCTATGCCAAGATCTTTAATGGTGAATAAATCATCCAAGTACTGCTTCAATGCATTAACCTGAGCAAAGTCAGACCCCATAACCAGTACATCATCTACATAGACCAACATAGCAAGAAACTGACCTCCCTTTTGTTGTGTGAATAAGCAGTGATCTTGGGGTGACTGTATCAAACCAAAATCCAGCAGTCTTTTGGACAATTCACAATTCCACTCTCGTGAAGCCTGTTTCAGCCCATATAGACTCTTGACTAACCTGCACACCTGTCCATCTTTTCCTTTATTATATCCCTGTGGAATATGCATATACACCTCTTCTGACAAAGTCCCATGAAGGAAGGCATTGTTGACATCAAGTTGCCATATGTTCCAGCCCCTTACTGCTGCTATAGCCATGAAGACTCTAACAGTAACCAGCTTAGCTACTGGTGAAAATACATCAAAGTAGTCCACTCCTGCCACTTGTGTGAATCCCTTTGCCACCAATCTAGCTTTGTACCTATCTACACTGCCAACAGCTTTCCTTTTTATCTTGTACACCCATTTTGACCCTATGGCCTTCTTCCCAGGTGGTAAATATGCAAGCTCCCATGTATGATTATCTTCCAAAGCCTTTAATTCTTGATTCATGGCAGTGACCCACAAGCTATTCCCCTTTGCTTGGTTATAATGTGCTGGTTCATGTTGAGTTGCTATGTTTGTCAGGAAAGCTGTATCCTCGTGTGTGTTTGCAGTGCCAGTAGTGGGACAAATGTAGTCCTTCATCCAAGCAGGCTTCCTCCTATGTCTCTTACCATCATTTGGGTCATCTGGTTGACTGTATGTGTCGGCTCTCATATTGTCATGTGGTTCATCTTGTTGACTGCATGTGTCTTCTCTCACATTATCAGTCATATCTGGCTCTTCATGGATAAGTGGTAGGGGAGTGGTAGAGTGGGCTTCACTCCTTGCTTCTTGGTAAGGGAATGTATCTGCTAAGAAAACTGCATCTCTGGAAACAAATCTCTTCCCACTATCAATGTCACACAGAATATACCCTTTGCATGCTCTTGCATATCCAAGTAGTACACATTTGTGTGATCTTTGATCAAACTTCCCTTTGTGTGGACTGGTGTTAGCTGCATAGGCCAAGCAGCCAAAGGGTTTGAGCCTGTGATAATCCGGTGGCTCACCATACACTCTTTCAAATGGAGTGTCTCCTTGCAAAGTCACACTGGGAAGTCTGTTGATTATATGTGCTGCAGTCAGAATTGCATAAGGCCAATAATGCATATCCATATTTGATTGAAACATCAGTCCTCTTGCAATCTCAAGAATTTGCTTGTGCTTCCTTTCAACTACACCGTTTTGCTGTGGTGTATAGATACATGTCTTTTGGTGTACAATTCCTTGATCTTCAAATAACCTTTGACACTCATTGCCTAGGAATTCCTTCCCATTGTCACTCCTCACTTGTTTGATCTTCTTGTCAAATTGTGTTTGTATTAGAGCAATGAAGTTTTTGATCAAACTCACAGTTTCTCCTTTAGTTCCCATGAGGTATATCCATACACTCCTGCTGAAGTCATCTACTATTGTCAGAAAATAGGGAGTTTTGGTTATAGAATCCTCTCTGCATGGACCCCAAATATCAATGTGTATGAGATCAAAGCACTCCTTTGTCTTGATACTGCTTGTTGGAAAAGGTAATCTATGTTGCTTTGCTTTGTAGCAGATATCACATGCCCTTATATCCCTTTCTCCTTTTTCATTGCATTGCCCCTTAAGAAAGTCTAGTTGTTTCATAACTCCAAATGAGGCATGTCCAAGATTTTTGTGCCATTCCTTCAATGTGATCTTGCAGCTTAATCCCACTGCTACTTCTTTTGGTGCAGGAGTTAAAACATATAGCCGTTCTTTCAGCTCTCCTGTTCCCACTATTTTTCCAGTTCCTTGGTTCTGCAGATGACAGCCCTTAGATGTAAAGCAGCATTTTAAATTTGATGTCATACATACTTGTGTAACTGACAGGAGATTATATTTGAAGGATGGTACAAACAACACTTCTTGTAGCATAAGTTCTTCTGAGATTATCACTCTTCCAACATGTGTCACCATTTTGTTGGTTCCATCTGGTAGATACACAGTAATGGGTGTCTCCAGAGCTCTCACATCCTCCATTAGCCCACTGTTGATACACATATGTCTGCTTGCTCCTGTGTCTATCACCCAAGCACTGCTGTTCACTTTATCAAACATAGACAATGCATAATGCTTCTCTTCTCTCCCTTCATTGCCTGCAAAGTTGACATAATGCTCTTCTTCTCTATATGGCTTTCCTTTCTCTGAATCCACTGGTATTTTTCCCAACAACTTTGCTACTTCTTGTGCTAATGCTGTTATATCTGGTCCCAAGTTATTTCCACCATTGTGTGGTTTGAAGTTACCTTCTCCCTGTACAAAATTTACTATTCCTCTTGGTCTTTTGTCTTTTTGTTCCTTGAACCACTCCGGGTAACCATGTAGCTTGAAACATGTATTCTTCTCATGTCCATTCTTCCCACAGTGTTCACAGATGAGTTTAGATCTCTCCTCTCTTGAGAGCCTTTGCCCTTCTCTTCCCATTCTCTGATTTGTGTACTGTGGTTTAACATTGTACTCCTTCCCAGGGTTGTTATATCTTACTGCCATAGCTATATTTGTGTTAAGGTCTCCTGAAGTTGAATACACTAGCCTTTGCCTTTCTGCTGATAAGACCATTGAGTATGCCTTATTTACTGTTGGCAGAGGATCCATTAGTAACATTTGGTTCTTGACATGATCAAATCCTTCATTGAGTCCCATAAGGAATTGCATCAGCTTTGCTTGCATATTCTGTGCTGCATTTGCTTTTCCAATTTCACATTTGCAGATTAACTGTGGAACCAAATGCCCTAGTTCGTCCCACATTTTCTTCAGTTTGTTGAAGTACACCATCACAGTATCACTACCTTGCTTGAGACTTGCAATGTCCCTCTGCAATTGATATATTAATGGACCGTTGCTCTCTCCAAACCTCTGGCATATTTCATCCCAAAGTTCCTTAGCCGTTTCAGTATAGAGAAAACCATCAACAACATCCTTAGACATCGAGCCTAAAATCCAGGAAGTAACCATCCAATCTACCTTTCGCCACTTCTCATAATTTGCATCACTTATCTCAGGCATTTCAATAGTTCCATTAATAAAACCTAATTTCGTTTTTGCACCAAGTGCGATCATCATAGATCTTTTCCAGGCCATGAAGTTAGCTCCGTTGAGAGGTTGCGACACTAATTGCATACCTGGATTGTCGGATCCCGATAGAAAAAGAGGGTTATCTTCACGCTGCTCTGCGCTTCCAGCAGCTCGTGCATTCAACAATGGCCACGCCTCTGTATTCCGGTTGCCCGCCATTGGAGATCGATTCTGAGCTCTACAGGATCGTCACGTGCTCTGATACCATGTGATAAATCGAGCTAAGAGAAAAGGATTTTCATTTCATCGCAACACTCTGAGTCCGTACATGCAGGCTGCTATATACTACATGCAAATCCTAAACGACGTCGTCTATAGGTAAAAGAGATAATGAGCAAAACGACGTCGTTCCTACTTACAGCATTTTATTAATCAAGAAAACAAAAGGAAAAAGGAAGAAAATAAAAGAAAAGGAAAAAACTGCTACTGCACAAACATACGCACAGTACATTATATCATAGGCACACATATGGTCTTCAACACATTTTGCAGTCCCGATTCAAAATAAATTTTGATCTTATGATGTCACTGATGATGGGATCAAGATACCGCAACTTGGTAAATACATCCTTGCTACCTACAACTCATAAATTAGAAACATTACTAAGTAAATCATCAAATTTCAATGCTAGTATATTTCAATTAATTTTTAATGATATATTCAATGAATATTTTAATATTATGTCTTCTTCTGAAAAATTTCAATAATAATTTGAATGGAAATGTTATATTAAATTGGTTTTTGTTATAATTTATGTTAGATTAATTTTCACCATTTTAACGATAACTTTTTTAATGCTTGACATTATTGGTGGTAAAAATATTTTAAAAAAAATTCTTACGATAATAAACTTGTAGAAAAAGTTTTGTGGGAACAATTAGATTCCAACTAAAATTTTTCAGAAAAAAAAGAAAAAAAAAATTACTATTGTAAAATATATGTTTTATTTGCTTATGACTTTATTATTTTTTTGTAATCTAGTTCAATATTGGTCTTAACTATCATGCTGGTGTTTTTGTTTATAGATACATTTGTTATTTCATATTTCTTGTACTGATCATTGTTCTCCCATTCTCCATTGTAGTTGGTGAATATCATTGATGGAGGCATTCTGCGCCAATAAAGTAAAATGAAAGTTTTAATTGATTCGAGTAAATATTAATTAACTATAAACTAGAACATGATTTTCATCATAAGTGAAATATCTTTTATAGTAAAATTTTAGGCATCCACTTAGCCATCCTTCCTCTGCCAGTAAAGCAATTTTTTTGTTTAGTTCGAATTTATATTAAGTACATAAAAATCAAGAAAAAAATTTCAGCCTAAATAAATATCGAGTGTAATAAATTTATCACATACTTTTTATTCAACGTCTTCTTAATGTTCCTATTCTAGTTAAAATCAATGGTATTTTTTCTTTTTTCTTCCAACTTTTTATTTGCCTCCGACTTCCCTCAAAGAAACTCAAATGAACTTCCTAAGTTTCTAATTAAAAAGAGATTCATTATCCATAACAATCACGCTTTCATTTTTTGTCATAAGTGTGTTATTTTGGTAACATAAAGGCTATTACAACATGAATTAAGATGAGCTAATTAACTGACAATTTTCTTCCATAAATGAAGGAGGATGTTTGGCATTAACAATTGTAAAAAGTCTTAAATTGAGAAATTTGAACACATATAGCATATGAAGTTTATATAGTATAGATGTATACTTTTGCTTAAAAACTAACTAGTACAGAGCCCGTGCGATGCACGGGGTGCACAATTTTAAGGCTATTTATCCAGGCTTATAATTATATACATGAATAAAGAAAAATGTACGGGATATATATAGTACGTGACCCGTGCGAAGCACGAGATATATTTATTTGGAGAATATTATATTATAAGATGCAATATTCAATAAAAGTTTATAATACGCAAGAAAATTGTACAATGTTCTATAAAAATTTTATTATAGTCAAGTGGAGTCTTAAAGTCTCTTGTACATTAAGACTACTGACAAAATAATATTTTAATCAATGAGTTTCCTTTCCTTGTAGCCAAATTATGAATGTGATTTGAGGAGTACAACAAATCGATATATAGCTGACTTGCTTTTTTCATGGTAGTTTTTTTTCTTTTTTTTTTATAATGAATTTAAAGATATTCTAAAATATAGCAAAAATTAATTTTTTTATTACAATTAGGAATTTTACTAAATATAAACTCTCAATCTATGGTGTTAATCAACGTTTAAGTCTAAGAAATTAAGAATTTTTACCTCTTTTAATCAACGTTTAAGTCTAAAAAACAATAGAGTTATTATAAGTTTTTTTTCTACATCTTTTAAGACATTAAATATGAGCATGTTAGGGTTAGCTTATAAAATAATTAATATATTATCTCACTAAAACATTTATACTAATAAAAATTTAATTTTAGCATATAAATTTATCCCTTGATATAAGAGAAATTAACAGTTTTACTTATTGTTGTTCACCATATAATATTTAATTATTATTTTATTATATAATAAGAAATATTGTTAAATAGTGTAGTAGAATTGTTATAAAATTATATGATTTTTTTTTTACAATATGGATTTAATTTTTTTTATGATTTGATAATATAAACAAATCTATACTTAACTTTGACAAATAAAACAAATAAATACTTTAGTAAGTATTTAACGTATGTACTAAATAGGAATATATTTGGTATAATCAAATACCAAATATAATCAAATAAGTCAAAGTGTACATTTTTATTTGGTATTTGATTTTTTTTATTATTAAAAACTTTTTATTATACTTACCTTTTTAAAATAAAACAAATAAATAAATCACTTAAATAAATAAAATATTATAATACCAAAATAGTAATGACATTTAATGCAGTTGACTTTTCTGGATAGTAAATGTAGTAAATAGAATCTCCTTTTATATAAGTATATATTGTATAATACGGAAATAGTAATGCAATAAATGTTGTTGACTTTTCTTTATACTAAATCTGGTAAATGGTATACCTTTTAATATAAGTATAGATATAAGAGTATCTAAAAGATTAATTTAGTTTGATTCACTAAAAGCTCATTTTCCATATAACTGTACGTGATGTTAAAATATTCTTTCATTGAAATTTAATATTCTTTTATTAGTGAAAGACATATATTTACTCATAATTCTCGTATGTGATTGTGGGGTGATTTATAATTTAATGTAATTTAAGTAAGTAAATAAAAAAGTTGATCACAAATTACGATTTGATCTATTGGAAAGTCTGCAACTATTATTTGGTATATAATCTATGTATTATGAACTAACTATTTGCAAAAAAAAAAAATAACAAAAAACAAAAAAAAAAACAAAAACAAAAATTTTCCAGTCTCGTTATACTAATACATTCTTCTCATATCATACAAAAATTACTGAACAGTACATAGTTAAAGTTAAACAAAACGTTTTTCATTTGCCAAATTATGAGCAGACCTATTTTTAGCTTAAACGTATTCTAATTGGAGTGTCCTCATCTGTAAGGCTATGATAGCTACGCGCAAATAAAGGAGTCCAAGCTCGTTTTAAAAGCATCAGCTCGCAAAGGCCATCTTTTCCTTATGGGCTTTAGCTGGCAACTTGACGTCAGTGGCCAGCCCAATATCCTTCAGAAGCCCAACTACGTACCAAGTCATATCGATTTGCCACCACTCAAGCCCGTGTCTAGCTGAATATTCGAAGGCATGGTGGTTATTGTGCCAACCCTCTCCAAAAGCAAGCACTGCCACCCACCTGTATTTTTAATTCAATTTTCACAATCAAAATGTAAAATATATAAAAATTAATAAATATCTCAAAATAATCGAGGATTATCAATTATGGATATTAATCGAGATAATGATATAATTCGAAAGTTCAAAAAAAGTTCTGTTAATAAAAAGTACCATTGAAAGTTTTTGTGTATGAATCAATGCAGGACGTAAATTAGAGATATTTGATTATTGATTATAAGATTACCAATTATTTCGAGAAAGATCACCGGTTTTCCAGGCTTGTCTGCCCCAAACATGGCAAGCTGAATTTACAAGCCAGGTGATATGGTAAACCCACACGATTCTCACTCCCTGAAAATGCAATAAATGTGATCACTTTTATATTATTTGTATTAATTTTACTGAAAACAATAATAAACAAAATAGAGCGTGGCAACTTAGTAAATAAAACAATATAATAATATCAGCAAATCTCACTAGAAGAAAACACATATATTATTGATGAAATATTATGTCCTATGAATCGCGCCAAATCAGGAAAGCCCAAATGAAGTCCAAGTAAGGTTCCATCCTAAAATCAATTGGTGGTAGGAGGAGTAGTCCACTAAGCTTATAAGTTAGGTCTATTTTCCCTATATAGACGATGTGAGACAACTCACAAATGTATATTCTAACAAACTGTCACGAATTTGAATAGTCCATGAAACTTAACAAGTGGGCGGACTGTGATTATAACAGGCCCATGTTATTGGTGGCCCATCAAGCCGTATATTTTTACCTCTTTGTAAGCAAAACTATTTTAGATACACCCTTTAAATTGTACTTTGAAAATATTATATATTATTAAAAAGTATTACAATAAACCCATATGCATTTCATACATTGTTATTATTTAAATAAATAATTTTAATCACCTCATTCTCCTAATTGATGATATGGTAGTACCAAACATGCGTTAAATATTATTAGAAGGGTAGATATGCTTAATGCACCCCTAGCCCCTTGGACTAAACTTTGTAGGTGATTAATTACATATTTCATTTATGAGAATTAATTACTAGAAGCTAACAAAATAAACCGGTCCACTGTCCAATCAGCAAATACAAATTCTTTTATTAGTCGGCCTAACAGTTATGTACGTTGTCCCGTCATACTTAACAAAACTATATATTTATGATATAAAATATCATACTTTTATTTATATTATCTTTTAGAACGTGATATTTAATTTTAAAAGTATGAAGCAAAAGGACCTTATCACTTACCATTCCCCAAACAATATAGGGAAAACCTCCAAGTGCATAAAGTAGAGCTCCAAGTGCCAAAGGATGAATTATGTAAGTGCTTTGAAGGAACTTGTAAAATGGCTGCTTTTCTAAGTCTCCAACATTGTTAGGCTTCCCACACTGCACAAAAAAAGAATAAAAGAAAAATGTAGGTATGTAAATTAATTCAATTGATGAGGAAAATAAGTGCAATAAGTAGTAGAATGTGAATTAAATTAGTGATGTGGTAATTTTTACCCTTTCAGTGACAGTATTGGTGTCAAAAAGCCAACTCATGTGACTAAACCAAAATCCTTCAAGAGGGCTGTGTGGGTCCTTCTCTGTATCACAAAACTGATGGTGATACCTATGTGTACTCACCCAATCAATTGGATTTCCCTATAAAAATAATGAACCCACATATTCAATAAGATTCATTTTTTTGACGGAACGATAGCTATATTATATATACCGCACAAATGTGCAAAAAGCAGCCACCAGCTGATTACAAACAGCCAACAACTGAATACAAGCAGCCAATAGCTTAAAAGTGGGAGGACAGGTCAAGAGACCGCCTAGAACCGACCCCAACGGGGTAAAACTCTAGAACACTAAAAAACACACAAAACAACAACAAAAAAACAACAACAATATATCCACACAGGGTAATTCCCGAGTGTCGGACCCCCACAGGGTAATGAAAATGACACTCGGGTGCACAGAGGCCAAACGGCCCATACCTAAAACACAACGACAATCACAAACACATGAACGAACACACTAAACAAGAACAACAAACCAATCTACTACATAACAAAAGAAGGAAAAACACAGCTAGATAAAAAGCCCTTCCACAGCAAGTCAGTCAGCTCGAACCAGCGGAGAACGGTCGATATCAGAGGATAATTCAAGTCAGGAGACAGCTTCCGAAACTGCCACAAGGCCTATACAAAAAGTCGAGTCCGAACACAAACCAATCTCCAAAATGACCTACCTCAACGGAAGGACAACCGAACACGCATCCACTCTAGCACCTTCCGAGCACGCCTAACACCACTAGCCGAGCTTAGGAGCGCCTGAACCCTGCCGTCTAACACCACTAGCCGAAACAGGGGGGCGGCTCGGGCCCTCAACTCCGACAAACCATCAGAGCCCCATCCCTCCTCACGACCCACACACAAGCAGCCAACATCGCCGTCGACCACCGGCTCCAGGACCAAAAACCCCCGGACAAATTTCGCCGGAAAAAGCGGAACCACCCGAGGGTCTTCCGTTCGCACACTTAATCGGGAATATAGAACCTGAGCAGAAAAAGGAGAAAAGCTCACCTCCAATCGGGACCGGCGGGCAACTACTCCACCCATTGCTAACCGGTCGACGACTAAAGTGCTCGCCTCTTCCAATCTCCACTTCGCCGGCGAACAGAGGCATGGTAGACCGAAAATCACAGGCAACACCGACGGTCTGGGACAGCAGAGGAGGGACGGCAGTCGAGCACGACCACCGGCCGGCGCCGCACCGCCGCCTAGGAAGGCTGCGCAAATCTGACGGGAGGAAAGCTAGGGTTTCGAAATTTGGGGGAAGACGTCGCAGGAGGTTTTCGACTTGAGTTTTCAATAAGATTCACAATTGACATATAAATAAATATTACTCAACTAAATTTCAGCCTAGCATCGTCAATTATACAGAACAATAAGTGGTAGAGAAGAGCAAGAATGAAAATACATATCCATAAGATTATGTTATGATTTACTGTGGCAAAAACGGCTAGCAAAGATAGAATTCAAAGGTTGAGTTTTAAATTAAAAGAGAACATTTTATGAATAAATTATTAAAAATAAAGGTTTATTTATATAGAAGTCAAATAAATTTTAGGACTAACATGAGAAAATCTCAACCCATAATCAATTAATCATAACAAAAAATTGGTATCTAAAATCACCACAAACTATTTCTCTTTTAAAATTCAACATTTGCCTATGCTCCAACTCCAAAATCCAAATAACAGTTGCAAGAAAAAAAAAAATTAACAAAATTGCAATTAAAAAGTAACACACACACCTGAAGGGCTTGAACTCCACAATAGGCAAAAAGATACTCCAGCCATTTTGGAAGCTTGAAGCTCCTGTGAGAAAGATTTCTATGGAAAGAAAGAGTGATCCCCAGAAGCCCTGTAACCACATACAACCCAACAGCAACCCACAAAGCGCCCCAATTGAAAGCAAAAGGCGCAAAAACACACAGCAAATGCATAGCAATTACCACCCCAATCGTTGCCACGTCCAAAGAATTCCATTTTCTGCCCCCAAAAACATCCCTTTTCCTCTCCACCACCACATCTGACAGCAAAATTCTCCCAAAGTTTGATTTTTTCTCGTCCCCTGATAATGGGATTGATGCTGCATTCACAATTGGCATGACCCTTTTGAATTTTATGTCTCTGCTTTTGAAAAAGATCTCATTTTTGAGCTTTTTGTGTGTGAAATCCTTGTTTACTGCGATGGTTAAGAGGTTTTTGTGTTGATATGTTGTTTTAGAGGAATTGGGTGTGAAGAAGGGGTGTGGGAATTGAGAGGGTTTTGGCTTGGACGGTGGTGGCAATAGGAGGGCCATTTTCTTGGCTTATTTTTCTTTTCTGATGTTGGGTTTTCGGCTTTTATAGATAATATAAACTTGTGGGAAATTTGGGTTTGCTGAGGATTCATGTGGATTTTGATGACCACAGATTTTTAAATGGACGGAGAAAAATAGAAACGTACGTGGCAAATGAGTTGATAAGGCGGTTAGGGATTATTTAGTACGGTTTTGAAGTGGAGATTTCCAATAGTGGGAGGTTTGCTGATAGTGAGGTCAAGATTTTATCTTTCTAAATAATTTTAACTCTGCCCTTTTGCCTTAGGTTCAAACCAAAAGATTTTGTCATTTAATGTTAATGGGAGATATTTATGGAATTTAGACTATGTTGTGTGGTTGTATTTATATACCTCAAGACTGTTATTTTCTTTTGTGTGATAATTTTTTCGCATTTGATAAGTTTGTGTTGATACAATTTCTGTTATTTGTTTTCTGGATTTCTTAGAAGGGGATTTCAGATTTTTACAGTTCTGATTTATGTTTGATTAATATTTGTGGATAAAATGTTAATGTAGCGTTGTGCTTACAGAAATGAAATGGGAGTTGGTGTACTTTTTCTATGTCTAGTAGTTTGTTAGCTCTCTTTCTATTGAGTTTCTCTGAATGATGAAATTATCTTTTGCCTAAATCTTGGATCATCTGCAACTTTTCTGTTAGAAGATGCGGCCGGTTTAGTTTCTGAAAATGAAAATGTGTTGTGTGTTCTTGTTTATTTTATTGTTACAATATATTATTTTTTAGGAAAAAATTGAGTAGTTCTCAGCACAAGCTTCTTCTTCCTTTCATTTCTTTGTTCTCTCTGATGATTGATCTGATCACAGATAACTTTATTGTGTTCAAACTGCAGCTATTAAATTCATTGGTGCTCCTTGGCAGAACAAATTATCCAATTTGAAGTGAAAAAACCGTGCTTAATACTGTTCCCCATGTATGCACGCACCGACCATCTATTACCATTTCAATTTACAAATGTCAAATAGCTCTCGTATATGCCAATTTCAACAAAATTAACAAAGTTCCACCTATTGCAAAGTTAACAAAGTCAACATGCTGTTGTAAAGATATTTAACTGTTAGACATACCATTAAATATTATATTTTTATGCATGTTTTTAAAGTATCATATTTAAGTGTGAAAATATCATCGAGCCACTTATCTTAATTACCACACAATTAAAACTGCTTGACCACTAGCATCTCAAAAAGGTCAACATAAAAGGCAAGCTGCTCCTTCTCAGCCAGTTATTACATCACAACACAGAAAACCCAGACACACAGCAAAACTCGGAACAACCTTAGCAAGGATCTATCAAACAGCCTCCGAAAGCAGCCAAACCCGGGCAGCCCTCATTATATCAGTCAGAGTAATCAGCCCAACAAGCAAACCGAACTCGTCCACAACCCAGGCCCGATGGACGTGATTGTTAACAACCTTGTTGACCACCTCACCAAGGGAAGATTCGGGCCTGCACGTGATGAGTTCTTTAGTGGAGTTCCTCAAGCCCGATGTCTCATGCAGGGGTGTCCCGGACAGCCGGTTGATGAAATCCAGGATGTTCGTTTTCAGGCAAGATTGAAGTAGTGGCATGGGACATCCTCTTAGGTCTGTGGTCGACAATGTCCCCACAACTTTCCGATTTTTGCCCTAAT